CTTTTTCATTAATATCTTTAATGTCCCTTTGAAGAAATTTTTTCTTCTGCTTCATATAATCAATTTCTTCCTCAATAATATTTCTTTTCCTTTTTGAAGTTTCAGATTTAGTTAAAGATTTTTGTTCTTCTAAATACTGAACTTCTAAATAACGAACTCCACTTCTTGCAGAAGCTGCTGCTGATCTTATTTCTTTATTAATTTCGATATTAAGAACACCTCCAGAAAATTTTATGTAATCAAATACTGTGCGTTGAAAAATGTATGATGAGTCACTTAAATTTTCAATTTTAATTACTTTATTTACAGAGAAGCCCCTTTCCACAGAGGCTTGTTCATGTGACAAGATAAGAATACTTGTCACAGTGAATACTTGAATAGTGAAAATATACATTTTTTACTATATATATATACAGTAAGACCCCGCTTAACGCGGGGGATACGTTCCATCAAAGTAGAGCGTAATGCGAAACAGCGCTAAACGAGGCTATCTTTACATGTAAATATTGGGGTTAGGGGAAGATGGCTAGGAAATTGGTTAGGTATTAAATTTAAAAAGTATGTTTTTTTAATAAAAATAAAACCAAACATTTATTTCTTAAAGCCCAAATTAATACCACATTATTATTTCTTGCAAAAATAAAAACAAAATATAAATAACAAAACGAATATTCTTAAAAAAAAAACAAATAAAATTCGAAGTCAGTCATATTTAGTTAGCCTTCCGCGTTTTCAGTGTTCTGCTTTTTGTGACAAAAGCATCTAATGTTGTTTGCCTTTTTCTTTTGCGTTGTTCTCTTAAAAGTTCTCCATAAACGGATAGAGCATCTCTAACACCACGCCTTACTTTTGAGCTCCTGTCAAAATTCGGATCATTTTCAATGAATTGATCCATTATTTCAGTTATGGTAGACAAACTCCTTTTTTACAAACGCCATCGAAAGTTCTTTTTGCTCTTCTTCTGAATCACTGCTGTCAACATTTTTGTTTTCTTCTTGTTCAGTTAATTCCTTGAGCTCATCATTAGAAAGACTAGCCGCTGCTTCTTGAATTATTTCTTCGACATCTTCCACATTTACCCCTTCAAAATATGTCTGTACAATACCGCACCAAACAAGAAATACAAGTACACTCATTCAGATATGTATTTGAAACCTATCGCTGCATAATATTTCGGGGAATCCCCGTATGCTGCGAGCGATTTCGTGGAATCCCCGGGTTGAAATAAAAGAGCGCTAAACCGAAACAGCGTTAAGAGGGTTCTTACTGTGTATATATATAATTTATCAAGCAAAGCAGTAATAACAATTTTGGTCAAGAAAACATCTTGCGCAATATGCTGCAAAATAAGTAAAAAATAAAAATTGTAGAAAGCTCGCCTAAAAGTTACCAAGAGCTGCTGCTCCAAAAGGTTAAAGACGTTTTCAAAAATTAATACACATGAAAAGCAAATCATTAGACATGTAAAACATAAATACAATAAAATTAAATAACAGAAAAAGTTAAAAAGTAAGCGGAAAATGGTAAATTAGCCCAATTCGACATCCAAACAGGCTTTTCAAGGGAAATTTCAATTATTTGAACGTCGAATCAAGCTAACCCCATTACGCGTTTCGCCGAAACCGACAATTGAAACTTTTTTCGCTAAAAATTTTTTTGACAAAGTGTCTTATATATTATATATATATATAATTTATTTCCTAAATAATATTGATTAATTGATTATATTATCTCCTAAGTTTAATTAAAGTAGAATTATTTTAAAAGAGTGAATCCATACTGGTAAGTTATATTTTGAAAGATGTATATATATATATATATATATATATATATACAGTACAAAGTCCGAGATCCGGACATCCAATATCTGGAATGATCTAAAATCCGGACCTCAAAGCCACCACTAACCAATTTTTTAGGGCTTTTTTGAAGGGAAGGGGTATGCTTTACGCACGCGTATTAGATGTTTTTCCTCATCATAAAAAAACATGTCGGAAATCCCGATTCTTAATCTCAGTTTGGCGCTAAATAAAATATCTCATTATTGAAGAAATAATTATTTTAGCATAAATTTGTGCGATTAGTAACTTGACTCCATAGCTTCGTATCTCCTTGGCATAATCTTAAACCGAAACATTTGTTTATTTTACACCAACTAATATTTTATATCCTTGATGCCGAAATCGCGAATCATTATTTATTGTATTTTGCTTTCATCACCGCATGTTTATCAACGGATGACAACTTGAGTGATGAATCATGCAGCGACGCCAAATAACAGAGTATTATCCGATTAAAGATTTAAGTTTAATGCGCTAAAATGTTGACAAGGGGAGATTTAGCAGAAATTTCTTTCCTTATGCTAAAAATAGATTTTGTTAATGATACTCATAGGACAAACGATTATATTTAGTGCTATTTGAATGAAGAATATCTGGTTTGTTATTCACATAAAGCTACTATCACATAAAATCCAGAAAACACAGCTACCGATAGTGAAGAAAGTAACAGAGAGGTTACTAAAGAGAAAAAATTTTGATTGACAAGTTATTCGGAATTCTCGACACAGCAATTACAGGACTTGAACAATGGAACTTAATAACTGAACAAGAAATTATATGTCTATAGTATTAGTCTGAAGTATTAGCAGAGAAAACAAATTAAACAACTCACATTGAAAGAAATGTTTAATAAAGTAAACATATAAATATTAAGCTCTTTTCTTTTGTAAATTTTGATAACCTTTAATTATTAATCATAAATGCTTCATTATTTCATAAATCACGATTTCATATTTTCAATTTTATAATTTCTTCGTGCCACCTTAGTAGATTTAAAATGATCTAATATCCGGAAAAATCTCAAAATATATATATATATATAATACGGAATGTATATTTTCAGTTAAACTTCAACCCAATAACTTTAGTAATTCATGAAAGTTAATTTTGCGTCTACTTAATTCAGGAAAATTAGTTTCAATTAGTTGTTTTCAGCTTTAAAAATATAAAAAAAAATTTTAATTAGTTAGTTATTTTCAACTAATAATTGTATCGCCATTAGCAAAAATTACGCGTTGCTATCAACAACATAGGTTTAAACCAAATACTTAATTGTCTATTGAAGCTTCAAAACGTATTTCCGAACTTCACTTTTTCTCGGCTAGCGTTACCGAATTTGCCCTTGGCGACCTAAAATCGAAATGGAGACAACAGATTTCTCGCGAAATCGATAACAGACCCTCTGCAGAAATAAACTCATAATCCCGATATCCCATACATATACTATATGTGCAAAAAAGAATAAACTCCGTAGAAGGTGATAAAAAATTAATTTATGGCTTAATTGAAACAAACACAGAAATTAAGCTAAGCAAAACCGTGTAAAAACAAATTGAAATGATAAAACGAAACTTAATTTTCATGTGAATTTTCAGCGCTGACTCTCCCATTCTAGAAATTTCAATTTGTTTCAGACAAAGACCACATTTAGCTTTAAAGGATTGCCATCCATCAATATCCAGTCTTTGTAGTCAGCTTGATGAAGCCACAGTTTATTGAAAATGCACTTTCCAGGCATCTCGTTCCTATTGGCGTCGGAAGGGTTGTGGCCTTCCAGGTTGGGATTGCTCTAATTTTGGCAAATATTTTCAGAATCCCCCCCCTTTTTTTTTTCTCGAGCACCTTCATCATCACTTTCGCCTCTTAAAGAACTTCCGGCTTCACGCTTTCGTCACAATCTGCCTAAATTTATGGATAACACCTGTTTCGAAAGATTGGGTGAATAGCCAATCAGACACCGATACTTTCGTTCGGGTAGCTAATTTTTTTTTTTTAATCGTTTGCAACGCAAATCCGCCAACAGATTGGTTAAGAGCCGTGTAATTTTAATTCCATATTCATGAGAAATCGTAATTCACACTTAGAATGGCAATCATTAGAAATGATAAGAAATGTCAAATGAGCAAAATTAAGGACCTTTTATACATTTTGGCCAAAATTAAGGACTTTTAAGGACCAAAAGTCATTTTTGAAAAAATTAAGGACTTTTAAGGACCGTACGAACCCTGTTCGCATAACAATCCAGGCCATTTTTTTCGTGTAATTGTTTGCAACAGCGTCTAATGCCCAAATAATCATGCGGTTTTCAGTGAAGGAGCAGGATTCGTATTGGTGGCTTCTTATACGTGTCTAAGAGACAAATCGGCCATCAATTAGAATTTGCACTCATTGTGAATCATCCATTTGCATTAGCATTTTCTTGTAACGACTTAATGGAATTTCTTCCGAGTGTTCTTGTTGGGAAAGCGGTCTTCATATCAGTTCTATGATATGGGTAAATTTCCTGCGAGGAAATAACGAATGTTTCAAGAAATCCTCAAGAAAAAAGAATGGACGCTGATAGGATTGCTCGAATTGAAAATTAAGATTGATATGAAATCTTTTCTGCTAGAACAATTTAACGAACTTTCTTGTATCTTGTCACAGAATTAAATTACGGAAATTCAATAAACACTTCTTTAATCCGTGTCAGACAAAATGATTATTGAACTTTAGTAAAATTATTCTCAATATTGCTTTCTTTTCTTCCGTATGTCAGGTCCATTTCTCAGTCACATCTGTTATTTTAGAATAAACACGTTAAAACCAGCCCCGTTCAGAACATACTTCATAAACTATAGCAAAAGCCATCCTTCAATTTTCTAGATTAATTTACAGTCAGCCCAAGCCAGATTAATCGGGCCCTATCTAAAAAAAACAATTAAGTTTCCTAACTATGGAATGGTGGGAAAATTATTATCCTAAAACACATTAATTTATATAATAAAACGAACTTATAAACAGATTAACGATAATTTTGGGTTATCCGTGGGGTGTATTATGCCGGTTAATCGGATGTTAATTGCATGAAATAAAAAAAAATAAAAAAAAAAAAAAAAAAAACACCAGAACGAAATATATGAAGTTAATAAAAAAGAGCTGTTGAAAATAAAATTTTACCATCTCTCTGGATCGAACTTCTCTGGTTCTGTAAAAAATTCTGGGTCGTAATGCATAGCATATATTGGAATAGTGACTCTTTTCCCCTTTTCAATGATTATTCCAGTATTTCCCAATTTGTAATCTGTTACAGCCTCTCTCTCTGTTCTGAAAAGGGAAAAGTTTATTTTATAAAGTTTGATAAAATTTAGTTAATAGTAAATATAGTTTACTATTAACTAAATATAGTAAATATAGTTTGATAAAATTTTCGAGATAAATTTCTCACAATATTTGCATGAATAGCTTAAAAAAATTTAAAAAAAAAAAAGGACTGAAATACCTAAGTATTAAAAGAGTTATGAATTAATCTTAAAAATCATTCTTCCCCTCTTTCGTCTCTTTTTTTCTTTTGATTCGACAAACAGTATGGTCATCGTTGACTTTTTCCAGATTCATTACAGCATGTATACACGACATTCAGACATACAGGGTTGTATAGTAGAGTCGTACAGGGCTGCATCTGGATGAAGTTCACTTATTTAACTGTTTACGATGTAATATTTAATTGCATAAAGATTATTAAATTACAGTTTAAATTCACCTAGACACAACATAAGAAAAATGGCCATTAAGATTAATTTAGACAAGTCTGTCTCTTTGAAAAAGAATGTGACTGACACAACTTTATATTAATCTTTCAAATTATTGACATTTAGCCAAAAGTTATTAATTAAAAATTTTTCCATCAAGTAAAATTTCTTTTTATAGTTTTAACATATAAATTTTAACTTAAACCTCACTTTTGAGTTGTAAAAGCTAAACTGTTTGTTTCTAGGTTTAATTTTTACATGAGTTTTAAAAAGTAATCTCTGTTTACTTTGTTTAATTACAAATATCTTACACACGCTTGTATATATATATGTTTTTGTGTGTGTAAGGTAACATTCAAACATTAATTTGCAATAATCCCTCAATTTTATTACTTAAATTAGTTATTCTTTCTTACTGCTCTAAAAATAGCAACTGTTTACAATAAATCTTTCTAAATTGTGTCATTTCAAAATGAACTCCTATCGCATGGCTCTTACAAAACACTTAATATGCAAATATATACTTAATGCAACAGTTCTTTTATCCAGTAGCAATGATAAAATTTACGGCCAAAAGCTTTAATAACCAACTGAAATAAAATGAAACTACAACTTCATTGACATACATATCCTAATCTACTCATTCTTCTGAGCTTCTCGGTCTTGATAAAATCTGCCATTTCTGTTGCTTATTTCAAATACATTTTGATAAATTTATGAAAAGTGCGAATGCAAAAGAATAAGGATGAACGGTAAGTTTTACGCCAGTTCAACAGTGTATTTTTTACTGAAGAATAATTTTCAAAAATAAAGCTGTGTTCAACTACCATGACTGCAACTATATTGTTATCCACTAGCTCCATTATCATGTTCTATGCAATCAGATAAAATTGTTACTACATATCATTACATAAAATTATCATAAATGTTCAGTCTGACAGCATTTTATGCGGATTAGTCTGCATCGTGATTTCCATGGCAGGAGGGCTTTTTGATAATTTTCAGGGGTATTAATTTCCATTCCTGTTCCACTACTTTCCAGATTCCATCAATTGTGGTGAGTCTGCGCTTAGGAAGAACTCTTTCAAACAAACCAAAAGCACAATACTGCCTAGGCGAAACTTCAGGGGACTTCCCAGGAATACGTTGAAAAGGTATACAATACCTGTCCCGGTTTTCATTTTGTTTTTCAAGGAATGCAGTGGTACTTTTCGAAGTATGACTTCTTGCTTTGTCTTAATAAGGTTTTAGAAGGTCAATGGGATAAAGAAATGGCATTTTTTTTGTTAATATCGGATGTAAACTTTCTCTTGATGACAGTGCATTGAGTTAATTTTAACATTTTTTCCCATTCTTCTTATTTTAAATTTCATTGTAACAGAATCCTTTAACAACCATAAACCCCCTCAGTGAAACTTTCTTAACGGAACCAATTTTGTACAATTTTTTCTGTTCATTTTCCATAATAAACAGACCATTTTTTGTTGCAGTTATTTAGATAAACCCATGCTTCATCAAAGGTTCCAATGCCTTTCCATTCATTTTCAGCTAAATTGTTTTCATACAGGGTTACGCACATTGTTCCGCGTTGAGTCACATACCTCGGCAAAAGCTGGTGAACATTCTGTTTTTTAAATTTTTAAGCTGCAAATCTTGATTTATTTATTGTTGCTACAGATAAAGCTTTGCAATTGATAGGCAGATTTTCTCTTGTTACCAACAATTTAACTTTAGAAACATTAGAAAGAGTACGTACCTTTTCAGGTATACGTTTAGAGTCTTCTTTCCAAGTAGAAGTAATGCCTGACACTCTTTCCTTTCCCTCATGATAATGTTGTTTATTTTGCTCTTATAAATTAATAACCTCTATATCACAACGTTTTTGTATTATGAAATAGGAATAGTTCTCTTTGAAAAGCGCAAAAACATACTCTTCAATCCATAGCTTGTTTAGGTGCGACATTTTGAAAGAAGAATAAATTTAAAAATAGCAGATAATATTTCCTATTTCAAGTAATAAGCTGTTGCCAGAAATTTTTATTCCAGATCATGTGCTTTTTTTAAAACTCTTTATTGAAATCTTTCTAAAAATATGTAAACACCCTCTGTATATATATCTATATCTATATATATATATATATATATATATGATATAACTTTTGGTTTCCATAAGTTAAGAAACAAATTGAAAAATTGCAATACATTAGCTAAAAGAAGTTAAGTTCTTGAAATCTGAATGTGTTATAAATAAAAGCAAGCTCGTTTTTCACACTTGCTGCTCTGTCAAATACCCAATCGAGTTATACTTTTTTAAGAAGACAAATTTATGTAACTTTCTTATAATTTAAAAACGTATGCAGTTGTAAAATACTTACGCTGTCGCCGCTGGATACATTCGTAAAGTTTCTGAAACAACACAGTCTAAATACTTCATGTCCCTTACAACGTCATGGTCTATTTGACCCTGTAAGAAATGTTGAAAATGATAGTTTTACTAGAATACTGAATTCAGACTTTTAATAAACGAAAACTGCAGAAATGACCTTTAGTCTTAATTGATATAAATTTTACTTAAAACCTTAACTGAAATGCTATTTGAATATTACAGGACGGCAATACAGTTGCATTTCTATCTTTTTAATTCAGAAACAAAATGGTATTCATAAATTAATATCTAGTGAATCGTGATATTAATCACTTGATCATATCTTCGAGATTAAAGATACTTTACATGTTCTTTGCTGAAATATTAAATATTTAAGGGATATTCATACTTCAGATCTCTCCATTTCAGTTAGTGTAGTAATAGGAATGTGTTATGCAATATAAATGCCAGAGTAATCAGCTATATAACATTAGCTGTAATAGCTTAATGTAATACCCATTATTATTAATTTTCTGTCTTTTCATAAACAGTGTTTATAGCTCAAGATGGTATTTTTAGTGGAAATTCGTTTTATACAGCAGATTATGAAGTAAAAAAATTCATATTTTAATTGATAACGCATTCGATACTCAGAGCATTACTATCACACTGGTACACAATGCATCTACAATGATTTAGCAGTATTGAAACAAGATTCTGCGTTGCTTGACTTCGATGCGTTGTTTCACTTTTCATTCAAGTCTATCAAATTATAAGTATCTTTGAAATTTAATGTATCTGTTATTGATGAACAAAATATGTTATTTAAAAGCAACAGATGCACTTGCTTTACTATTGGACACAGAGCCGGATAAAGACTTTTACAGGCTTAAATATTTAACAGATTTTGGTTGCTTTCATATACAGTTACGTCTATTTTTTCACTACTCCTTCTTTCTCACTCTTAGTTTAGATGCACTGGATACGCATTGGTTAAATCGCAGGGAGAGCTTTTTGTGGTGCCTTTTTACTTTGATGTCCTAAGCACGTGTTTATATTGCTAATGATTAATTCAGCTCTGGATGAGCATCTATTCTCGTAGATTAGAACATCTGCGGATTCAAAACCTGAGCAAAGAAGCTTTACTGTCAAATGAAAAGTTATCTTCCTTTTCTCATATAACTTGGTGCTTTGTTTACGTTTCTGAGGCAAAACGGCAACTATTTGTTGTGTTGGAGAAGGATCATCGCGACTACAGAAACTTCGCTTGCAGAAATCTAGAGTCTCTCTTGTGGAACGGTGTTTACGACATCCGGATACTGGGACGCACCCTACCCCGAATCGAAAAATACAAAGCTTCGAAATAGAATCTCAACTTATGCGACTTCAGAATCTCAGACCTAAGACTTAACTTAAATGACTTGAGACTTAATCTCAAGACGAATTATAATAAAATTATACATATATATTTATACTAATATTTGTTTTTTCTTTCTAATAATATAAAAAGTATTAAAATTCGTACTAGAAAATATTGGATATTGGGGAGAAGCATCAGAACGAGCTGGTACAATCAGCAATGGTGACCAAATGCGAAAAGTCATACCAACGGTCGAAAGATCATAATTTTAAATTCGCAGTTTAGTGGTGTTACTATTTCTCATACGACAATGAAATCTTTCAGCAAGATGATAGTAAAATTCGGAGTTTGACAATGCCAAGCTTCTCATAAATAGTGTAATTACGAATGTGCCATGCCGCGTCCGAAATCTGCCTTAGAACACTGTTCTGGGCAGTTTGCAATTTTTTCCTGAAGATTTACATGAGTATACCCAGACCGGACAAGCATAACTTAGCATAGATTGCAAGACGACCTTATAAATGAGTAATTTGTTTTCAATATATAGAAAGCTGAAATCTAGAGTAGAGATCATGTTGATGACCTATTTTTTTAATTTGAAAAGGGATAATTGGCAAAAAAAAAAATTTTTTGAGAAACAGATCTGAGGTCTTTTTTTATATTTTATAAAGACGAAATGGACAACCATGTGAACAAAATTCAGTGCGTTCGGCCCGAAAACTCAATCGAATATCCAGTTTCTACTGCACGATAATGCGCCGTCACTCACTTCCATTCTTCATCAAGAAGCTTCCATAAAAGTTTTACAGATCTCAAGCAACCCGTATTTGACCATTAGCATTTGTAAACTACATTCTCCCACATCAAGACACAAAAAGAAAAAGAAAGTACTACTCTCACCGCAAAAGAAATTATTTTAATAACAATGAAGATATTTAGAAAACCGTAACCAGAGACTTAAACTGTATTTCCAGAAATATATTCTACGAAGAAATGACGCAGGGTCTACTAATATATCAATCAAAGCATATATTTAAAAGGACTGCATACTGAAGTCACAGAAGTAAGAATATTGTTTTCTTCAACATTCGGTTTTATACGAGCTTCGGCATATAAAACTTTATACTAGATGCAGTGTACAAAATCTGTTCCTCCTCACAAAATACTACGTTACAGTTGCTAAGTTTTCGAGTTCGTTCTTTTTATACTTTGAGATTTTTTTTTAGTATACATTCACTGCAATTACTATGCATGACAAGAGATCAGAATGCGCGCTTTATTTTTTGTTTTGCATATGTTCTTTTTTATTTTAAAATTAAAGTTTTTTTAATATTTTCATAAGACTTATTCTGACAGTTTTCGAAAATTGAATTATCAACAATTTTTGTTTCTCTGATTGGCCTATCAACGCTATACAACTATCTATATAAGTTTCTAAAATTGATCATGAATTTATATTTCTGTGTTAGTTGAAAGAACAATATAGTAACGTGCGTACAATTTCGTAATGGATTGAACGCACAAAGAACCAATGATAGCCTAATAAAATTTATTTTCCCGAAAGAAAAACTTTACAGTTCTGGAACTTTTCACAAAAGTATTTGTGCAGTTTTTCTCAGCATGACAGTGCAATAGTTATCATTTCAAACTACTATGAATATTGAACACAACGCATCTAAAGAGCGAAGCTTACACGGAGAACTCCAAACTCAAATCTGAACTAAACACGAAGAACCGATGCTCTCTCTATTCTTATATAGTTTTCCCCCGCCGTAGAGAAATTTCCATTACCTTCGGTTTCTCGAAGACATACACAGTTTCAGTTAGATATAGAGTCAGATACAGTTACAGTAACATATAGGGGCATACAATTACATATATTTGTGTATAGATCAATTACAGTTAAACGGAGATCGAACTAAAATGTCGGCGAACAGTCACCAAGTACGGCGCTCATTTGTTGATTTCTCACAAAATATGGCGACAAAAATTAGTTACCGAAAACGTTGCCAGCTTGGCGCTATCTTGCAATTGTCGAGACAGTGCAAGCTATTTACCTCATTAACACTGAGGTAAATGGCGTATGATGTAATTGCCCCAGTAACTTTTCCAATGAAACTTCACTCTTTTGAGGCCATTCACGTTACATTATAGAAAAATTATTTACATATGTACAAAATTCGTAACAATATAGCGATTGTATTCTGAATATTATTTCTTAAATCCTTTATACATTACTTATAAAACACGCCTTGCCGAAAAAAAAAAAAAAAAAAAGTCTAAACCGCATTATGAGAAAATTTAAAACAGACTTTAGACAAGCGCTGGTAATTTCTTTTAGCTATCATTACACATTAAAATATAAAATACGGACATTCATGACGAAGATTAGTCAACAATAATCATCATTATTTTCATCAATCAATTCACTTTTAATGGTAAATTGCAAATTATTGTAAAGATCAAAATTATTAAAACTGTTTATACGATTCAAAGTTGAAGATGAATTAAGAAACATATATTACTCTCGGAAATAATAAATACATTCTTTCAACAATTGCTTACTAAAGTATAAATGAATTGAGAGGTTGACTACGAATGTGTTTATTTTGTATTCAGGTGATTTTAAATATCAAAATTCTGTTTCAGAGCTGTTTGAATTTTTATTTACTATAGACCTAATCGCTAGTAATTGTTAACAACGTACAGTAAATAAACAGAATTATTTAAAAAACCGAATATTGCTTGTTATTATTACTTACGGAAAAGCTAATTTTATTCTCAGTCATACTTTTTAACGAAGAAGGAAAGAAGAGTTATAAAAATTTCTCAATAAGCGTACCTGAAGCATAACGATTTCAAACCGCCATTGCATCGTAACAGAAAAAGTTACGGTATCACTGCTAATGGAGAGAGAAATTTTTAGAATTTTTACAGACCTTACTCATTCTCGATGTTCTCCAGCATCGAATGTATGCCCTTCATGCCATCACAGTACATCAAATGTATAATCTCTAATTCAGCTAGGCCTATATTCGATTCTGCATAGCATTTCACACTGCAATTTTGCTGACTGCTATTTCAGTTCTATTCGTATTCAGGATGAGGCAAAAGAATTATTTTGTCTTTAATGCACCCTCAAAAGACTAGCGCAATTTGAAGTATCATGATGCCCAATAGTCGAAGAGACCAGTTAGGAAATGGTCAGTAGTCAGCAGCTCCCAGTTACTTTACCTATTAGGTAATTTACCGCTGATGTTATTGGAAAGTCATTTGAAAGCGAATCAGAATCTTATTAGCGTATTCTAAGGAAACAGATTTGTTGAATTACAATAATTATCACTCAAGAAGTTTAGACAATAGTGAAGCAAATGTGGGTCAGACTGGATTACAAGATAGCGAAAAAAGCTAACATGTCCGAAAAGCAAACATAGTAAGAATTTACATGGCCTGTTAAAAATCACAGAATATATCATTTCCTGTTACTATTACTTATTTTAACCTTTGCATTTCTGTTATGACTTAGTATATAACAGTATCGCAGACTATCAAGACTGATCTTTCTGTGTAATCACTTTTATTTTGTGGTAGGTTAGTCATCCTTTGCCATCATGCTTTTTACTGTCCTCATGCTTTGCGCAGCTTAGTTCTGTCTTTGGTTTTGTTGAAGAAATGAATTTAAGAAACTTTACTCACATGTTTATTGAAAGCATCATCTACTTCTTGTATGAGCTTTTCTTGACACTCTGGGTTTAAAGCAAGAGAATAAGCCATGTAGCTGAGGGTTGATGCAGTTGTTTCGTGGGCGGCAAAGAAAAACATCACAGACTGAGCAATGAGTTCGTCTTGAGAGAGTTCTGCAAAGTATTTTTTCCATAACCGTTACAAAGGAAACACTAGCTAAAAATTTCGGAAACTAGAAAACTAAAGAATTTTTAGTATAAATAATATTAACCAACAATTTCTAGCATAATTATACTTTATTAAAATTTCTGATATAAGTTTACAATAGAACAAGACAAAAATATGATGCTTTTATGTGCCACTCTGTAATCCATTTTCTAGAATTAAAAAGATTTGTTTTCATAAAAAGGAATAATTTTAGACTTACTAGTGTACTTCAAGGGTGCAGCTATTCCAGTGGTCGTCAAACTTCCGAACTGGTCTGCATCATCTTCGTTCGTCTCAACTGATTTAGAACCTGAACCAGCTGATTTTCCAGATTCTTGAACCTCTTCATCCGCAGCATCCATCATAAGTTGTAGAATATCATTGTATCTCTAAATGCATGAAAATAATATGGTTATTAAACTTTTCTCAATTTATATTACTCGGAAAAACAATTCATATATATAGAAGTAGTAACATTAAATAGACTAATTTTCGATGACACTAAAATGCCTAATAATAATGTATTTCATACAACGGAAAATCAACGTGTCTCGCCACGGAAATGTAACTGAGCACAAATATGCATAAGAATGGATAATGTGGTATCGCAAGACAGTACTTTTTCTTCTGGTTTTATTTTCCTCTTTAAATTATAGCTTAGTAATGAAAGAAAAAATATTTTTACATTAAAACAGAAGTAATAATTATGTTACATAAAACAGCTATAAAACATCATTGCATAAATCACTAAATCTACCAATTAAAGAGCATTATTGAATAGCCTCATTTGTTTGCGTTTCACCCGAAACACCAACTAGATGAAGTAGTGTAGATTAAATATTTTGATAGTTTGCCCAACAGAGTAGCTCCATTCGTGGTCAAATAGTGTTACAAGAGGCATTAATATATGGAATATTTCCAGTGCTAACAATGATTGGAAAGGGATTGTTTGTTAAGTATACTTTAATACTAAAGGAATTAATAATTTTTGATGATATAAATAGTTAGTCGTTTTTATGCCATTATATAACAGGAATACCAAAAGTATTTGCATGAAGATCTTATTTCTCAATTTCATACCGTATGATTATGTTGCATTATAAGTAAATGATACTATTTGAAATGGTAGTCTTACCGTTCGTTGGACAAAAGTTCATGCAATGTTCTCACAATTCCAGAAATGATGACTAAACTAATGATTCCATTTTTAATAACGTGCATTTACTCACTTGACCTGTTTTCTTTCTTTCTTTAATTACTTCTAGAGTCACATTCCGGAAAAATTCTGTTGACTTCATGCTTTTGATTCTTAAAGTCTCAACCAACCACCGCGGCGTCATCACTGAAAAAAAAAAAAAAGTTTTTAAATTCTAAATATTAAATTTTTAAATTTAAATTTAAAGAACATATGTTTTGTTTTCATTTAAAGCCTTTTTTTCATGTTTACACTGAAAAAAAGAAATACTAATGAATTTACATTAATATACACTGCTGGCTATTAAAACTGTTGCACCACGAAGACATAACGATAACTTAACACCACAAAGACGTAACGATGAAAGAAGTGCACAATAATCCTAAAACAAGGGCACAGCATATCATAATATGAAGTGTTTCACGGCATACATGCGTTGCAAGCAAGAGTATCGAAGCGCTATAGAAAAGCAGATCGAAATGCCGATTTTTCATTCAGGTATCATGATTACTCTTTTTTTTTTTTTTTTTTTTTTTGTTTTGTTCGTGTGTGTGTGTGCTTGTTGGAGGTTATGTTATATCTCGTGTATAAAGAAGAAATTTATACTAGCGCGTCTACTAATTCGATCGCGGAAGAAACATTATAACGGGTCTTTTATAAGAATTTTCAAACTGGGCCATACAGCGCAATGCACGATTTCTCAATTGCCCACATTCATCTGTGTCCGAGACAACAAAAATTTGTCCACGTAGCTCCTGTGGATCTTATAGCCCCATCACTTATCTTGGGTCAGGAAACTAGTATATGTATTGCATAACCCAACTATCTGCAAGTAAGGTAACGCAACGGATTACCAGCAAGGCAACCATTACTTTGGCTTCCCTTGATGCTACAGCACAGGAATCAGCATCTCTAATGGTGCATTCTACGACATGCATGGACGCGTCAAAAGAATGACGTCTTCAATTCAGATGAATCGCGCGTTTGCTTATACCCCATCATCAGAACCGTATGCGTGTGGGGAAGGCACCAACGGAAATTAAAGTTGTAAGCTAACATTCTTCACTGTCATACCGGTCGATCATGTAGACTGTGTAAGGTACTACTGTTTACACATCTTTTTCACTCTAGCCCGCATATTCTGTTCTTTGACTAGCCACCGATATACTGTTAATATTTTAATACCCATGATTGCGTCATATTTTTGGGGCCTGTGTTGCCCAATCTTCCAACAAGGCCATGCGAGACTGCGTATTGTCCATTCTATCTTACGCTTCCTCCAGTGGCGTAGCTAAGGTTTTCAGCGCCCGGGGATACCTAGAGATTTTGTGCTCCTTTCTGTGTTCCAATAATGGAAAACATTTCATTCTGTAATGTGTATTATCAATTTGGCGCCCCTTGGATGCTGCGCCCGAGGACGGATGTCCCCCTTTGCCCCACCCTAGCTACGCCACTGGTTTCCTCGATAGCCAGCTCGCCTGTCTTACCTGGCGTGTTCTCAAGATCTCTCATTTTTGGGGATGTTTGTCAATATCTGCATAGAGATTAGCCTGACGATACTACGAAGTCAAGCAGTAGATTGAAGAGATATCGTGTTCCAAACTTGAAGCCAGAAACGACTCGGTTTTTCACTCCCACATTCCCTTTCTTTTATCGGCCTCGTGCATTTATTCATTCCAATAAGATGTCGTGTGCGTTGATAATCTCGACCATAATTTCGATATTTTTAAACTTAAAAGTGATACAATGGTTTGTTGTTCTGCTATAGGATGTTTAGAAAGAAATGATGTATTAAAAATGAAAACTTAAGCTTTCATAGTTATACATCGTTTTCTACATATAATGTAATTTACATTTTCCTTCCTTTTCGATGGTTTCCCCTTTTTTGCGTTATAGTTCCCAAAACGTTTTCGTTTTTGTATTAAAAGTGACTCTCTATAGTTTACATCAGAGATATGCTGGATGTAACGAATTATTTTAATGCTCTTTATTAGCATTTTAATAGATAATATACGTATAATAATGTCTTATAGCATGGTGTAATTATGGTTATTTGATTATAATTAATTATATGAAGCATTTTTTGGAAATGAAAGTTTTACTGATTTTATTTATGTAATTTTAAATTACCTAATATTCGTTTTGCGTTAAATTACGTAATTAAAATTAATATTTTTATATGCAAGTAAAATTCAATCAATTTTAGGTTGTATATTAATCACTAATTGATGGCCAACATTAAATATTAATAAAATATGTTCTGAGGTTCAAACTGAGTTCTCTTTTAATTCTTTTATTAGTATTTAAGCTGGATTGTATTTCGAAAAAACTTTTAATACTTATTTAAATATTTAACTATATAAAAGCTTTTTTATTTTATTCTGACTTTCTCTCTATAAGGAAGCTACTAAATTGTATGTAAAAAATAATGTTTCATTAGAAAATTCATTATCATCGAAACTAACACATATTAAAGCCATAAATTTTTCTAAGGGATTCGCATTATAAGACAAAAGGAAAGATATAACTTCTTAACATCGCAAATTATATTTGTTAATATTAATTGTGAAGATTTTAAAGGGAATTTTTTATATTACATACTGGACTTGATCTAACCAAACATTTTAAAGATTTGAAGGAATCTTCAACAGCACACATTGCTGGTTTTATCATTACAAATTTAGAAGCTCAACTGTTAAAAATGCAATTTTGCTCTTCGTACTAATGGAGATATTAACCTTCATTCATTAATCATGCAAAAGAACAATGGAAGCTTAGTTTTTCCATCGAATGATGGTTTGTATGTATGCAAAGAAACGGAGGAAACTTTTCAAAATAGTTTTAAATAACCGAAATAGTTAGCATATTATTGTCAATTATATTAGAATACTTTATTGGAAGAAACATTTTTCATTCTTTATCCTGCCATATGCTATATCAAGGCCCAACTGCAAACCATGTTGTGAACTTAATTCGAGCAATAAATAAGCATTATTTAGGGATCAGAAGCATATAATGGTGTAAAGAGATATCGGAAAAGTTACAATCGAAAGAAAAAAAATAAGATATATATTTAACAAACCAGTTCTATTTAAAGAATAATTATTACATTTATTAATTTATATTGAAGAAAGAATGTTAATAATAAAATATTCTTTATGTGTTATAAAAAAGCTTTGATTTTGCTAAAATTTAAAATTTTAGAGTTTTTACCAAAATGTAATTTGTTTAATTTTTACCTCATTTAATGAATTAATTTGGTTTACTTAATTTATTTTTAATCAAACTGAAAAAAAATCTCAGTTAACATTTTTAAAATAGTAAACATAAATAATATTACTAACATGAATAAAAATTTATGAATAAAATTATTATTATAATAAATATCTTTAAAATAACAATTTTTTCTGTTTTATAATATTTCCTATGTATTATAGTATGCATTTATATATACATATCACAAAGAAGATAATAAAGAAATTAGTTAGAAAGTTATTTGCATTGACTTCTGTAAGAAATACCTTCTCCTTAAAATTCTAGGATATAGCTCAAAACATTCTGCTTATTGACATAATATATATATTTAGTATTTTTTGCTAAATGTATATCACAATTCTTGGAAAATTTTTGATAATTTAAACAAGGTATTATGAGACAAGTATATTTAAATGCAGGGAAAATAAGAAATAAGAGGCTATATAACTTAAACTGTCTTCATGAAGTACATATTTCAGTTATAAATCAGCATTGTTTAAGTTTCAAACAATAATTGAGTATGTTCTTTTTCAGTTAGTCTGGAATGTAATTTTAGAAGTTTTATTATTTTAGCCAGAAGTCAATCTATTATTTTCCTACAAATATTTTAGAGCCCACCAGCGGCCGAGCGGTAAAGTCGCTGAACACTGGTAGTTCGGTCTGAGGTTCGAATCCCGCGAACGGGCTGGCTGCATGGGTGTTTTCGTGGTTTTCCCCATGTGTAACGTGTATACGAGCCAGTTTCCCATAGAAAGTCCTCCACGAAGGCATCCCTCCCCTTAGGCAGATAGCCCTATTGTGCTTTGCCGTAATTAAATACACACACTTCCTACAAATTTTGTTTTTAGTTAGACTGGAGGATTTGCAAAAAAACTATATTACGTGTACTATCAATTTTTATTACTAAAGGATTATTTATTAATGTTGTATCCAAATACGATTCGAATTTTACTACTGTCATTTAAATAATTCATCCATATTCATTTATGCAGCACAGAAGAAGTAATTCTTCGAAATTATATCACCGCGCATATCATTGCTATTTAAAGGTACTTGGCAAGTTTACTAGCTTATTTTATGTTTATCGCAAACTACTACTGCTCCTAATATTTAAATGTGGCAAATTAAAAAAAAACCTTTTTGTAATGACCCCCAATTTTTTTGATTTACTTACAAAGTGAGTTTTTATTAGCGAGCTTAAAACATGAAAAGTGTGTAAAATTAAAATTAAAATAGCAGTCTGACCGGGCTGATAACAATGAGCAGGATAGGAAAGCTTATCAGCGTGAGACTACAAACAATCCTACAATAGGAGTTGCTGGGGGCAGCCACTGCATTTACGTCTTATCTCCAGGGGCAAATACCCGCCAGTTAGCACAACAGATGAATTCTGGCGCAGAATTGAAGACGCGTGAACCGAACCTATAATTATTACCTAAAATCTATTCCGATTTCATAGCTAGTCGTTTAATAGCTGTTATTGGCCTAATTTCTGTATATTCTGTAATTCAAAATTACCTGAAATTCTAATCATTTCATCCGTTTCAGTATTATGTATTTGTAAATAAGATTATGCAAACTGTTTTCCTTAATGGGGTACTGGCACACACTTCTTTTCATCAGCATTCATAAAATATAAAACTGTTGTAATGAAGCAAAGATAAGGAGAAATATGAGATCGCATATTTTTAAATTATGAAAAACATTTAACAAAGTACGAATATATAAATATATATTTGTTTCCCAGTAGTTAACAAGCAGTTATAAAGCGGGATTAGAAGAAAAAGAACTTGTTTAAAAGCTTTTATGATTTAATAATCTTTCTACGCTATTTTTATATTATTATTTTCAATTTTAGTTTTCATCTTGTTCTGAAAGTAATTCTTTCTTGACATCTAAAATGTAAGATCAGCTAAAAAAAATACTAGATATTTGGAGTACATTTTTAAAGCAATTAAGAAATTTAAGGTAATCTTTTATGATATTGTTACCAATTTTTGTATATATGTAATTAAGTTTATTGAAATTATATGTGAAATTGTAGTACCTTTTGTATAATGCAACATGAAATGCTTAAAAAAGCAAAGCTCTGCCGTAAAAAAAGTGTTGCAGGGTCAAGTCTATTTAACATTGAGGTAAATGGCTATCTCGTTAAACTGGCGAGATATCGCCAACATGTCGATGATTTTGGTGACTAACAATTGTTGTCAAATTTGGCGAGAAATCACGAAAATTTTCCAAGCTTGGTGATATTTTTGTCTGTACAACTCTAATTGGCACTTTAATTGATCTTTTAATGTAACTCTCTTAACCGTACCCGGCCCTTATATGCAATTTTAACTGTATTTAACTTCTAGTAATTTCAAGAAATTGAAGGTACCAAAGAACTGGTTTCTCGGCGGCCGAGGAAAAACTACGATATACTCGTATATAAGCCTGGATAACTTTAGAACCTTGGAGAAAGCATCAGTTCTCAGTTTGTAGTTCAAAATAATAACTACTGATTGTGGTTTGTCGTACTGATAGGAGCTGTACGAATAATTATGCAGAAACTTCAAGAAGTTTAAAGTGTTTCTTTTAGAAAAATAAATTTTATCAAGCTATAATCGGTTCTGTGTGCATTCAATCCATTATGAATCGGTACACATGCAACCGTATTTTGAATGAAAATACTCTTAATTTCTCGTCTTTTTTATTTTCTATTTAATTTTGGGCGATATTTAACAATGGTAAAAATAATGTTTTGCACATTCGTATTATTCTCGGTTTTAATCTTCTTCCAAAGCATACTTACTTATAAGCAGAATAGTCATCGATGTAAATTCTTCTATAACTTTCCTTGCATTCTTCACAAAAATATTGTCAGCATCACTATGGCTATCTATTTTGGTTGCAAAAGCAGCATTAGCAATCACGTCCATTGTGAGAGTGGCAAATACCCTGAAATAAATATAGTAAAAAACGTAAAATGTTAATTCCACGCAACATGAATCCAAGGTTATAAAGTTAATGGTCGATTTAAACTTCTTCAATTCAATAGCACGAAAGAAATTACTATGATATTGTTTGAATGCCACACATAATTTAAGTAAATGAAACATTTAAAAATTAAAATTTTATTTAAATTATAAAACTTCATACATAAGAAAGAACTTCAATCTCATGACATATTTCACTTGACAATTTGACTTAAAATCGCTGCTAGACAAAATTCCGAAATTTGAAAATCCTGGAACCTGAAATATGAATTATATTCTAAAAGAAAGAAAACTACAAGAAGGAAAATGAGAGCTAAATGAATGGAAGAAGCTTACAATTTTAAATTTTTTTTTTCGTTTCTTGGCTAATAGTTAACTGTTATTGTGTAATTTACTTCATTAGCTCGATAATATTGTCAAACTAAGATTTAGAAATTTTCAACGGACTGAATGAAAATTACCATTAATTCCAACCAGAGTTCTTAAACTGAAAATGCGTCTTAATTGAGTTTTAATTCGAATATATATATATACAGTCAAAAGTCGTTAATCCGGACTCGTCGGGACTTCGGCGAATCTCGTAAGATGGCATGCAGAAATTCTAAAATTAAAAATATGAAACCCTAATTTATGAAATAAAGAACAATTATGATCTAAAGGGTATCAAAATTTACAAAAAAAATGGCTTAATATTTATTTGTTTACTTTATTAAACATTTCTTTCAATGTAAGCTGTTTAAGTTGCTTCGTTTTATGTGATAATACTTTCTCTTTAATTCTATAAACAGATATAACTTCTTGTTTAGTTGCAAAGTTCTGCTGTTCACGTCCCGTAATTGCTGTGCCGAGAATACCGACTAACTTGTCAATCGAAATTTTTTCGTTTTCACTAACCTCTCTGTCACCTTCTTGATGTCTTTATCCATTTTTTTGCAGCAATTCCACTTTTTTGTTTGATGGAAATCGAAACATACTTTCGTTTTGTAGATTCTTTGGGAGCTCCAGCATCGGAAATTCTATTTGACATAATCGAAAGTTCAAGTTTAATTTTATAAAATTGCTCTTACAGTCTGCAAAAAAATAATAAGCCGGATCCAACTCGAAGATTAAGGAAAAACGCAATCATCAACATTAACTGAAATAGATAATTAGATAATTTTAGTTTATACCGTCCGTTATACATAAAACACGCACGCGAAAACGTATTCTGCGCTTGCGCACACGCATATGCGCAGTCGTAAAGGTCTTACGCGCACGCGTAAACGCCTATGCGCATGTGTCAACGCGGCGCATGCGCAGAAAATTTTTAGCTTTGAGTTTCCGGATTATAGATTATTCCGGATTATGGGTGTCCGAATTAACGGTTTTTGACTGTATATATATATAACAAAATCCGAAGTCTTTTGGTTATACGTATTATTTTTCTAATTTTTTACATTGAAAACATGCACAATAAAAATATCATTTCAGAAAAGAGCCTTTGATAAAGTTTACTTTCTTTAAATCGTAGGCGTCAGTCTTTGGGAGCTTCTAGATCGGATGGATTAGATCTTAAAGCAATGAAACCATTTCGGTCAGATCAAATATCAGATATTTTCTGTCACACTATACAGCCTCATTGCTTCACCGAAGATTGTTGCATGGTAAATCCTTTTAACTTGAACATACTAGATCAGGTATTCATCGTAACGAAGAAGGAAATGTGGGTATCATTGGCAAAGCTCCTTATCCCCCCTTCCCGTCTCACTTATAAAAAAATCTCCGGCTCTAGTGTAGAATTCGGTGCCTCTTCGATTAGCGACAATTTTTTTTAAAATTTTGGCAATGAAACCTCACTTCTGGTTACCATGATAGTTTTATTGTATATGTGTGTGTGACTGTGGCAAAGCCTCGAGGGCTATCTGCCTAAAGGGAGGGAGAGCTTTCTAAGGGAAATTGAAATTCTTCTTTTCTTCGTGGAGGGCTTTCTAAGGGAAATTGGCTCGTATACACGTTACACATGGGGAAAACCACGAAAACGCCCATGCAGCCAGCCCGTTCGCGGGATTCGAACCTCGGACCGAACTACCAGTGTTCAGCGTCTTTACCGCTCGGCCGTTGGTGGGCGCCATGATAGTTTTAACTCTGTTTTAGCTTCCTGATTTTATTTAAATGAAAATAAATTGATGTGTACATGGACAAATTTAAGGCAGTGCGCAATTGCCTAGTTTGTGCAATTCTAGGATTTTTTTTAAGTGAAAACAGATCGATGTGTACATGGACACAGAGTTTGTGCAATTCTTTGACCTCCTTTTTTGGTTTTGTGTAGAAATTGTACCTTCCTGGTGCCAATCTTGGCATCAAAAAAGAATCGCCAAAAAACAAGGGGCACCCAATTTTAAACTTTTACCAAATCTCCTGCCGTCAGTCTTTTGACAGGACTTTCGGTTTGCCGTATTTTAAATGCCTCCGTACCATATACTTACAAGCATCCATATTTTCCAAGATTCGAGTGACATTACGACAGACGACTATCCAGCTAATATGTCGAATACAGCTGCTCCATCAAATCCGCATTTCATACCTATTCACGCTCTCCATCTTTGCTCCATTAGATAATTTTGACTATGGCCAAGCACATGAAGGCTGTTTATATAACAGGAATAAAACTGGACTGCACTCACGCTACGCCTAGGGAAAATCATATTAGCTTCCCTGCAGCCAGTCCATTCACTCGGATTTGAACAAGGCGAAGTACTAGTTTTTAGAGTTTTAAAGCCCTAATCACTGATTGGCCATCGTTTTCGGAATCAGATGATTGCCACAATTGACAACAAGTTTGAGATTCACTAGTTTCAACTTCCGATTTATATTTTCAATATTACATACCCATACATATGAGCTGTTAGGGCAGTAGGAAAAGTTCTGGGGGAAATATTGCATGGTCTACAATTTGAAAGCTGCTTATAGCTTTAAGAGGAATACATTTTTATACATTTTTTTTAGTATTTTGAAGAAATCCGTCATGAAAAATTTGACATTAATGTTAACTTTTAAAGCCCTCTTTCTTATTTTGATTTGTTAAAATGTGCATTTTCAAGACAGTAAGTGCTAGTTACTTTAAAAAAAGTCGTTACAATGCTAGTATTCATCGTGAATTACATACACTGTTTGATCTTGAACTTGTCTTTGTCCCTAAATGTTATCAATCTTTATCATTTCAATTTGTTGTTGGAAAATTCATTCTGGTTTTTATCATAAAAAATATATAAAAAAAGAAATAAATTTTATATAGACAAACGAGATTAAGGATATAACGCGCCAGATTTTATTTTTCCTCGGGAGCTTCTTAAAAGGAAAGGTGTATAAAAATAAACCACATAATAATTTATATGAAATGCAATGAAAAACGTCCAGTTTCAAAAAGTGAGCTTGATCGTGGCTTCGCACGGACGAATTTAATAGTGACAATAACGGCAGCTTTATTACATTTAAGTTGCAGCAAACTTAACGCTTATAAAAATGGTAAGTTTGAGTTTATTTAAACTTTTAGTGCGCATATATTCACAGTATTTGAATGGAAAGAAGCACAGGAATCGGGTACATGTTTATAAACTTATAAACACATTCTCATGCCAAGCTGGAAACTATTGCAAACTGCATAGTATAAGGAGAAACGCATGTTCTTAGTAAAAAATTTTGTTCATTCACAGCTTTTACTTTATTTTGTTTTTTTATGATTTAACTGTAAGGTGGCGATTTTAAAGGAATGTAAAAATTCAATTCAAAACATTATGATATAATATCCTAAGAAAACAATTCAATATAAATCTCTAATAGTATAATGCAATATTTAATAAGACAGTAACACCTTCAAATAAATCTTTGCATGTCCTCTCCAACAGATCATCGTGACTAATTTGCTGATGGTTGGGGGTGCTTAAGTACAAAATATCAAGAAAACCTCCGTTGCCTAGTAAAAGGTAACTGGTTTTTGGCATTATATAGTTTATCAAAGTGTTTTGTAAAAAAATACAAAATCCTACAAAAGTAAAATTTAAGACAAATACAATAACTTGTGTGATCAAGTTAAAATCTTTTTTAGAATTTTGGAAACTAGAAATGAATATTACCCTATAACAATAAGAAAGAAAAGGAAATTTTGTTACAGAATTATGTAGGAAAGAAAATTTTAGGTTTTCTAAAATTATGTGAAAAATATGCGTTTGTGTGTGTGGTAGCACTTCTGTGCCAAACTATGGTATTAAGGATAGTGGCTGGTATGGAAAGTATGCAAAACCCCAAGTCAGTTTCTTAGCCATAGTTGACTCTCCTAACAATAAAATAAAAAGATAAAATTTTGAGGTAGTATTAGAAGTATTACTTAGGGGAGCATCAGGTGGTCTGCACGCTCAGCGCGTAATTGAGAGGTCCGCGGTTCGATTTCCGGCGAAGGCGTTGCTAATTTTTCATCTCTTTGGCCTCCAAAAAAAAAAAATTCTAATGTCTCTACGTGACGCTCGAACTAAAAGGGTGTTGGATGGTAATTCTCCTCACCCAGGGTTTGGCGATTGGGTTCCCTAAAAACCCCAGTCGCCCTTTAAAAGGGGAAGTGTATAAGATATTTCTCCCGCCTTCGTGGTGTAGTAGTCTGCATGCTGGGCGCGTATTCCAGAGGTCCGTGGTTCGATTTCCGGTGAAGGCGTTGCAAATTTTTCACTTCTCCTGCTTCCGAAAAATTACCTAATGTCTCTACAAAACATTCGTCTTTATTGAGAATCTGGTACGAGGGCCAGATTTTCAATGCAATGCAAAAATGGGTTAGAGTTATCCTCCATAATAAGCATTTCAAATATTATTTAATAGCATGAAAATTTCTCTTGGACGTTATAAGAAAGTATAGATTTGACGAAAGCAGTGAATAATTAATAAATAATTATAAAGTAAAAAAATTGGTAAAAATTTATTTCTGTTGTTTATTGGTCACTACATGTATACCGATTACCGATTTTTATATTGCCTTATTTCCACTACAAATCTAACTCATAATGTTTGACGAAAAATTTTAAGTTCATCTAGTCACAGATACTTTAACAAAAAGAAAACACTTCAGTCTTTAAAAAAGGAATAAAAATTGTTATGTAATAAACTGCAGATTCTGCTAATTTTAGACTGCTGAGTGTAATAGAAATAAATACCGGAAAAATTTTAAAATTTTACTTAAATTCTATAAAAACTTACCTTTTACAATCAAATGATTCTTTATTTATTGCATATTTTTCCAAACTTTTCATCGCAGACTCTGTACAGTCATTTATAATATAGGACATCTGTAATACAATTTATTCTTAACAAAATTACTGACGCTATGATTTTTTTAAACTAGCACAAATATATTTAATAAAGTGAATAAATACATGCGACAAAGGTTTGAATCGGTAACAAAAGGATAGGAAACATTTCTGTTTCATGTTTATCCCCAAACTGTTTCATATTATCACAAATATAACATATCTGATGCAGATACATTTCAAATCTGTATTTGTTGAAATACGGTATTACAAAAAATTTCAAGATTTTAATTATTTGATAGCCGAGTTTACATTGTTTTTCCTTACCATTAAAATTGAACATGAATAACGAAAAATCTAAATCTATAAATCCATAAAAATATCAACAAATGGAGTTAATTAATTTATAAAGTGATATAAATCTCATTCAGAGATCTGAAAATGCAGATTTTATTAATATTTATTTGTGCTTGTTAAAAAAACAAATACACTCAGTTACGAATTTTTGCATTAAGAATAATAGCTTTGTTTGGGAATACATTTATATATTAGAATCGTTTTTTTTTCACAGCTAAAAATTAATAAGAGAAAAACCAGATTGATCGATGAGCATCTGTGTTGAAGATATTTTCAAGTAATTTTTCTCCAAACCTGCAAACTTTATCAGAATCGAAATGCTACCAAATATCTAGCTGTAGTAAAAAATAAAAATATTTATAATTATTTACACACAAACGAATTTTATTTATATGTCGAAGAAAAGTAATAAATAAGAGACTAGATTATGATTATTTACTCTCAAGTTTTATCCCTATTGGAATGTTTTGTAAACTTCTAAAGGTTTCGGTTGTTGGTGTATTTAATTATGGCAAAGCACACTAGGGCTATCTGCCTAAGAGGAGGGATGCCTTTCTAAGGGAAACTGGCTCGTATACACGTTACACATGGGGAAAGCCACGAAAACACCCATGAAAACACCCATGCAGCCAGCCCGTTCGCGGGATTCGAACCTCGGACCGAACTACCAGTGTTCAGCGACTTTACCGCTCGGCCGCTGGTGGGCCCTTCTAAAGGTTTCATAATTTATTTTTAGTTATTTAATGATTAATTAAACATGTTAGAATAATTTGAAAATAACTTCCAGTGTGAAAATTTAATATTCAGTTGTCAATATATTTGAATTACAAAGTGTAGCCAAAAAGAATGTCTTGCAAGTACCAAACTTTAAATTTTAGATAGAAAATAAACGTAAATTTGAATTTTTCCTTTGCGGTGTTATTATTGCTTATATGTGTTTTGATGAATATTTAGGAAGCGAAATTTAAGTTTATTTAGTTAATAAAAATTTTTCATTTTGTTTTAAACAAAAATTCTGGCCCGTAAGTTGTTTTCGGATCGTGCATTTGGTCTGCAAGCAACCTGAATTTGGGACCACTAACGCAGCCTATTAATGACATTCCTACTAGTATTTAACTATCCCCGTAACTGTTCTAAAATTAAATAACGAAGGTTTAAAAAATTACTTACAGCCATAAAGATAGCTAGGCAAATACTGTTCTCAGTTTGCAACATTATTCTTACAAATAGGTAAATTTTTCAAGTTCCTATTTTTTCTACTGTTTTTTACTGATCTCAAGTTCCTGTTCTATAGTTGCATAGCAGCAGTTCTCAGGTTTTACGGCAACACAGTGGGAATGTGTCCGTAACTGGCGTATTTCTTGTATAGTTAGATAAAACTATAGTTTTGTTAAAATTATTTGAAAGTATGAACGATGACTTTTTTCCCGCTCATGGACAATGAAGAAAAGGAAAGGAAAATAGGTTGCTATAAATTAAGAAGTTCGCCAAGTGAATTATTCTTGGCGCAAACTGAAAAAAATTCGCCAAGATAAATTTTTTAATTTCTCCATAAATTTCTCACCAAAAATTACAAAATTTAATATCTAGGCATAATTTGAATCGTAGAATCGAAATATGGGAAAAAAATTGGCGTGTTATTTCAGAAAAGTCCAATTTTGTGTCAAAATACCTATGTTAGAACAAATCTAATATATATCCTAAGTCGCGCTTTCGAGACATGGAAAACACAATTTGAATTTCGTCAATCGGCCCACTAAAACAGGCGATATAGAACTGTCCCTCCCCCCTTTTTTTTGCGTAGTGTACATAGAGAGGTGCTAAGCCGTTACTTCAATTACAGATGAATTCCGAATATCCGAATTAACAGCAATTCTAATCTACATGGATGAATGAGATGTATTTCTACGAATAAAATATGTATTTACTGTACCGAAAATGCAGACGTTTCATTTAACTATTTTATTTCAGGAAAGATTATTTAGTTATAAAATTAAATAGTATTACATTCCTGAACAAAATGCAAAACAATCGTTCTAGACGAAATTAAGCAAGAAAGTTAATTTCTATTAATGTTTTACTTAAGCTACTGATTATCCTAAAACTAAACTAATAACTTGTTTTAAATTATTTATTTCTCTGTAATTAATCATATTTCTTATTTACTTGGAACGTCTAACTTTTTTCCGTTCAATTAAGACTAAGCTTAGGCATTAATAATTTTGCAAAATGATAAAAATTAACAATTAAAACACATGATATGGAATTTTTATATTATATGGATTTAAAAAAATAGCTAAATAAATTAAAGAGTGTTATTTACCCTACACAGAAGAAAAAGAGATTTCGCAGTTTGAGTTACGTAAGCCTATCACTAGCCGAGTGATTATGACGGCTCAGTGATGGTACTTTGACTCGGGTTCTAATCGATTTCGAAAAAAATATGGAAAGAGCTTTTAAGTAAAGCTTAAGATTTAATAAAGTGAATGTTATAACAGAGCCTGATATTCATCAACGAACGAAAAACTCAGAAATTCAATCAATTAAATATGAAATAATCAATTAAATATGAAATAAACTCATTATTTTATATTCAGCATTTTTCAAAAATATATTTCACACAATTCTAAAGGCAGTAGTCACTTTTAAAGATCTCATTTTATTTAATATATTTTGATACATCTAAAATATTTTATTGGTAACTTACATTCCTCATCTTCTTAGAAGTGAAAGCGGGAGTCATTATAGTTCGAACCCTTTTCCAATCTTCGCCTTTCAGAAACGAAACTTGATAATCGATTGTCTGATTACCAACAGCTAAATCCTGTAAGATATAACCATTAAATAGAAAATTTTCATAGCATAATACTCTTGTTAGCCCCAGAGATGCTATTAGTCTCGAAACTCTCTTTTTGTCCGTTCCACTTTTGTGTCCGAATTACTTTCCAAATTGTTGCCACTAAATGTTATCGCGATGTATTATTTAAAAAACCAATAAAGAATTTTCATGTACAGATGTATGTTCCTTGCAATGTAGAAAAACGACGGCACCTAGAGCGAACGAATTTTTAATACACGCATCCTTCCAACCGAACGTGAACACCTAGAAGCCCGAATTTAGAATTTGTTTAATATTTATTTCGTGTTTCCTATAAATTTAACGAAATTTTGTTTAAAAAGCTCAGTGATTGAAAGTTAGAAGTGGAGACACTATTTTAAATAAAACAATAACAATAAATAAACTGTCTAACGTCAATCACACAATTAAGTAAGTTTATTATTGGTGTTTATTTTTCTTTTCTCATTTAGACTGTACTATTTGTTTTACATTCAAGAGTTTATTTACATGCGCTGTTACTTAAGCTTTTTCCTATTTTGACATATATCATCTATGTTTTAATAATAAAGTATGATTTAAAAACGCAACAAAGATATTTTTATTCAGCATTCACCATTCACCATCAGTCCATGGCGAATGTCTACATTTGCCGGTGTAAGTAAGAAATAAGAATTTTAGCAAATATTTCGGACATACACCAAGCGACTCCGTGAATGTCAATGATGACATTCTCCAGATTCCGATCTTTCACAGTAACATATAATAATAATAATATATATAAAAAAAAGAAAATCTGAAGGTTTCAGATTTTAAATTACGTCCAAAGGGGTGATTTTTTAACATTTTGTGCGTTACCATTATTTATTAAATATCATGTTCTTCGCACTTCCACCATAAATTCAGTTCAAGAGCAATATTGAAAAATACTTTTAAATCGAGCATATCTTTAGAATTTCCGATAGTCTCACGCGCTGGAGATAAAAATGTTTTTTCTGTGCAATTACTTGTTGCCATTGTTCGCTTTGAAATCCCTGAGTTTGTTAATGAAAAATTTGTTAAAGTTTTACAAAATATGAAATCGATAATAAAACAAATTCCAAATTCCAAATTTGGGCTTCTCGTATTCGCCCATATTCGCAGTAGGATTACGTCATTCAAAATTCGATGGCGCTTTGTACCGTAGTTTTTCTAACATTTGGTGGCAACAGTTTGAAAAATGAAATGGACATTTATAGGGAAGCAACGCAAAATCGCAAAACGAAAACAATAGTCCTTCAAAGCCCCTTTGGACAAAAAAATGAAAGAAAGAAAAAAGATAAAAAAACCACAATGTTTCAAAAAAGGCTTTCAAAAATCATAAACATTTTAACAAATCATTTTTTATTATTTTCAATTTTTACAAATCTATCTATAATTTTTGGTATTATATATATATAACAACCATGTTTTTTGTATAAATGTGGAATGATCGAAATCGGTATGAGGTTGATGATGGAGCATTTCTCCAAAGGTTCATCACAAGTGGTAAGAGCTGAATACGCTTTTGAGAAAAGCAGAATTCTCTGACGACTGTCTATAATGTTCGGAAGCGTCTATATGCCTCGTCAAGCGTTCTTGCAACTGCGTTAAACTATATGAGAATTATGTTGAATATTGATAATATAATTATTTTAGCTCTTGTAGTACATATTCTGTACAAAAAAACTCTGCCTTTACTTTAAACGTAGCAATATATCCAGCTACTTTTCTTTTAAAATTACTGCTTAAGTACCTTTTAACATTAGAGAAGTATTACAGAAAAGCAGTATAATTTCATAAAATATATAATTTGAAGCTGATATAATCGCATTGGTAGAATACAATGATCGTTTTAGCTTTTAAATATATAAAAATCATTTAAAAATATTATGAAAAAAAAGCTTACCCTTCTAAATGGAAAGACATTAAAATCTTTGACCATTATGTCTCTAAGGAGCTCTGGATCAGAAACTACAAGCTGTGGTGTCCAGAATGAGAAGGTGCTAATAGTAGAAAGATATAAATAACTTTAAGATTAAGTTAATTTTTTCTCATTTCACACGTATAATTGAACTAAACTTTCAAAGAAGAGACCTCAATGAAAGCGTTATGAAAAACTAACATTAATAGATGAAAAGGAAAGGAGAGTCATTGTAAAAGAGGTTAAAAGTTACATAATTTACACAAAAAAATGTATAGCAGTCATATCAGGCGAACGCCTGGCTGTGTGGGCGTTTTCATGGTTTTCCCCATGTATATAACATAGATACGAGCCAGTTTCCACTAGAAAAGTCCTCCATGAAAGGCATCCCTTTCCTTAGGCAGGTAGCCCTCGCGTGCTTCGTCATATAAGCAATATACACGAAACTAAAGAATGACCTACAGCAAAAAACAATTGTTCATACATACCTTGTCTACAGGATATGTGTACATATACAGGGTGTCCCGTAAATATTACGACAAACGCCTGGTGGAAGTAGGGCACATCATAATGATTAGGAATTGCATAGGAACCCCTGCTCAGAAACGCCACTGTACGCCGACAGGGAGTGTTGTATGGGAGAAAGTTAGTGGAAAGTGAGGATTGCCTCATTCGAGCGGTAGGCAACATACGAAGAGCATGGAACGCTATACGAACGGAGAGCGTGTGAACATGTGGTTCCAACATAATGGGGTGTCTGTTCATTTTGGACTGGATGTTCGTAGCCATTTGAACAGATTATTTCCGTATCGATGGATTGGTGTTGGTGAATCAGTTATCTGGCCCCCATGCTCACCGGATTTCTCGAGCCTTCATTTCATTTTCTGTGTAGCCATCAAAAGTGTCCTGTATCAAAATCCTGCTGTGCCTGAAATGGATCTCGTGCCAAGACTCGCCTGCGCAGCTGCTACATACAATCAAAAAAACTGCCGGTGTGTTTGAACATGTCCGGCAATCAATGGTCCGTCGGTGTCAGGTATGTTTGGCATCTGATGGTGCAAATTTTGAGCATCTGTTGTAATATTCAAGCTTTCGTACACCATCTGTATCCATGTCCAATAAATGTTTAAAATTAATCACTCTCTTGTTTCTTTTCCCATCCAGAGAACCTTTGCTACCACTTACCCCTGATACTTCGAGGCATGGTTTCCTTCTGCAATTCTTAATCCTTATGATGTGTTCTACCCCAGAAGTTTGTCGCAAAATTTACGGGACACCCTGTATATAAAGAGATTGCCTACAGTATATGTACAGGGTGATCATAAAATATTTCCCGATATATAAACCCCTAGCGGCATATCCGCTCAATCAACGAAAACGAAATTTCAGATACTATTATTTGAAGGTATTTATTTAAAACCAAAGAGATCTCGCGGATATAATGAAGCTTTTTCGAAAGGCAACGCCTTTTTTTCCCCTGCTCAAATTGATCAGCGCATTGAGAAATCATAAACTGCGCTAGAACGTTATACGCATAACGAACATTGCCGGCGTAAAACATAAACAAAGAGGAGGATTGCAAAGAAAGGCCCAATGACAACACAGAGAGACAAATTCCCTGATTGATTTGCGTAGGAAAAAAAAGTGGATGTTGTCATTCGAAAATTTCGAAGTGTTTCTAGTGTAACAGTCAGAGCTCTAGTGTTTTAAATGATCGCAGACTCGAGAGCATACCTTTAAATAACAATACCTGAAATTTTATTTCGATTGGTTACGCGGATAGGCCGCCAGAGATTCATATATTGGGGAATTTTTTTTACGACCACCCTGTATAAAGAGACACCATTTACGCCAGCAGATAACTGTACCTACAGCAGCATATCATCAATGCAGATGAGCTTCTTGGAAAAAAACCTGAGCTCCAGGACGATGTTAAGGCTCGATATGTGGTGCATGGGGATTGAGCATCCATCAGAAAGAATGCTTTTTGCCCGAAATATATGCTTTCTCAAACGTTGGTGTAAATGCATTAAATCGAATGCCGATTACGCTGAACATTGATATTATGATGTTTGTGTAGTTAATGCACTTGTTTATAAATTTTTATAATATTCTGGATAGCAGCGATGACATTCAACTTCAACTCTTCCAAGATGTGTCTATTGTTTATAAACATAGCTTGATATTTGATAAGAGTTGGAGATCATGTTGGTCGTAATATTTATGTATAATTATGTCGTTGAAATGCTCCCTCTAGCAAACTTCATCCTGAGTCTTCTTTAAGAATTTTCATACCCTCTTGTTACATTTAGAAATGATTTTTATTCTTCTGCAGCAAGGCAACGAATTGTCAAGTAATATCTTGAGTAAGTTTTAGGGCCCACGATTGTTCCAAAGCAAAAGGGTCCGACAATTCTTTGCTAACAAGACACATCAAAAAATGACTTTCGCAGGATGCAGAGCAGATTCGACAACAAATAGAGGGTATTAGAGCTCTACCTTCGCGCATGTTTATAACGAATTTTCTCTTTCTTCATTGCATGTCTTTGAGGTGTCTATGGTCGGACGTCCGGAAGATCCGAAAATCGGAGAGGGCACAGCTGATTTTTCGTGTTTTCTGCTTCAATAAATACCCGAATGTCAATGTGGTGACATCACGTCATATTTAGTTATATATTGATTGAAGTGCTATATGTAATTCTTATCAATGCTTGTATTTGCATAACATGTATCCTCCACCGCCTATCCCATTTTCTGCCAGCACGTTCTAAGTTACTCAACGTCTGGAACCAGACCCATGCAGCGTATGCAACTTATTCTCCCTACACCGCCACTTACCTACGAGAAATTTCAAAGACACGGTAAAGAACACATTGGCTAAATGCTTGCGCACCACCACGATTCACGAGGGTCTGAGTTTAGAGGAGGCACAGAAAAATACCCCGGAGACTAAGGATTGCTTGCTTAAGATAAGAGTGCAGTAGGCACATACCATACTCGTCTGCTGCAATGATTACTTGAGTGTAGCGTCTTATGAAGTAAGTTCTTGTGTAAATGAGTGTACTATGGCAAAATAAAAGACTATTACAGTTCATTCTCATGTGGCGTTTTCTTGTGAGAACCAGCAAGGTTACAATATCCCTTCCACACCTAATCGCTCTACACGTTTAATCACATACATAATTAATTCGATTAAATCACGTCTCACGTGATCTAAAATGGGAAGGTTCCCATGAATAAAATTTTTACAATGCAATGGTCCTTTATGCGACAAATAATATGAAGTACTATCCCCAAACATCAAATTAACACATACATCAAATTATATTCTGTTTCCAATGAATTCGTGCTTCCTGACTAAAGTGGTTTATCAGGTTCTTACACGTGGCGAAACTTTACAGAAAGCAGAAAACAACTGCAAGCAAAATATGCATAAACTGTACAAATAATCCTCAAAGGCATGGTTCACTTTTAAACTGAATTTGGTAACTGATATCGATTAGATATTGAATTTGATAAAAAAAAGACCGATTACTCACAAACGTCATAAGTACACTCTATCGAATATTTTACCAAAAGGCGACTCATTCCTTCTTCTGTTTGTAAACAGAGTTAGTTTCACAATTATTAAAACTAGGAATTATCCAAGTCAAATGCTACGCAGGATATTGTTTTCAAAAGACAAGAGGAATGCAGGATAAATATATGGACTTCTTTTTTTTTTTTTTTTTTTTTGGTAATACGGGAGTCACACGTTTGCATTTTACTTTTATATCGAGTATAAAAACTTCCTAAAATTTGGGGACCAGAAGAACGTATAAAAATTTAGATTTCGCATAAGATTCTTTAAAAAAATTGATATTGCAAAATATGAGTATACGCATCATTTAAAATGTTTTTATAATCGCACGATATCTTACAGCCAACGGTTGTGACCACAAAGACTGCATAAGGACTTTTCTGGACGCAGAGTATAATCGCAATATGTTTCGATTATCCACAAGATGAATTCAGTTAAATAAGGTTTCTGCGCAAGGGAGATAATAAATGGCAGTCAAAGGCCCTAAACAGAAAGCCATGAAGTTATAAATTATAAAGTGTTATATAAAATATATCATCAGGATATGTTATATATGACATTAACCAAGGATATGCAATATACTATGACGTGGACCAAGGACAGGGAGATGTGATGTAAACAAAGAATATGACATACATGACGCTAACCAAAGGATATACTACACACGTGACATTGACCAAAGACAGTGAAATGAGATGTAAAAAAAGAATATGATATACAAGGTACATCAATATAGCGATGACAAACTTTCAGGAGAGACAGAGTACACCTAGACGATGGGAAATCACATAGCAATTGCATGGTCGGAAACGCTTTCCTGGCACGAGTAATGACGACATAAAAAACAAAAAAAAACATGGAGACAAAACAGTGAAACAAAATATGTTTTATTATGTTTAGTACAGCAGAAACCTACAAATAAGAACAAAACAAACAACGATCGTCATTAAAGAAGGTGTTCGAAATTACGACCCGGACCGCGATGCAGGTCTCACAACCCCGCATGGAAGATCTGCCTCACGGACGAAAGATGCATGACGACGCGTGGTTCCTGCATCACGGTCCGGGTCATAATTTCGAACACATTCTTTGATGATGATCTTTTGTCTCTTTATGTTGTTTTCTCTTTGTTTTTGTTATAATAAACATGTTTTTTCACCCTGTTCGAGTCCTTTCTTTCTTGACTTTTGTATCGTCACTACCGCGCCAGGAAAGCGTTTCCGACCATGCATTCCTATGCGATTTCCCATCGTCTAGGTGTACTCTATCTCTCCTGAAAGTTTGTCAATGTTATACTGATACACCTGTCTCTGTCCCTGTACTGATACACCCTTGTATATGTATGTATATGACGTTAACTAAGGATAACTATAGCCTTTAAATTAAGGTTAACTGTTAGCAAAACTTAAAAGTAATTGTCAAATTATGAGTTTACAGTTTTTAAATATTTATTGTGTCTCAGTAGGAATCCTTAGGCAAGTAGCACTCAGGACGACTTGTCTAAGGAGAGATACTTTCGAAAATGATGATTTAGCTATTTTATACTTCGACAGACCAAACAGAGCTATAGAAACACGCTGTTAGAGATTATGCTAATTCAGAAAGGTGAAATAAATAACTAGTTAGTATTTTTTCTGAATAAAATTCTAAGCATTTAAAAAAGTGTAAATCCTTAGTAGAGTAATTTAAGAGATAGTCATATTAAATCGGAGATTTAGAAAAAAAAAATAATTCGCTTTCAGATATAACTCCCACCCCTATAGTTTTACTGCTTAAAATATCCTTTAAGATATTCTCACATCCATATTTGGCACTTAAACGTTTGGATAAAACTGTTCTTACTGAAATTGCAAGTATATTTATTGATAAATGGCGTTTTATACGTATTTTAAAAAACACTGAAATATCAATTACAGAATGAAATGCTATGAAGGATTATCGAAGCCTCTCTGTTATCTAAATCAAACGCGAATTCTCAAACATTATCGTAAAGCTACATTGTGAGTAAAAATTATAATGATACTAAGCTTAAAGAGCTAATGGTTACATGAAAAGTTTTTAAACATGATTTATTTCTCTGTGTTTATTAGATGTAATTGATTGCATCAACACATAGTATAATTTTCTTTTATAGAAGGTTTTTAGTTTGGTTTAATTGATTACGGCAAAGCACATTTGGGCTCTCTGCCTAAGAAGAGAGATGCCTTTCGTGGAGGATTTTCTAAGGTAAACGGCTCGTATACACGTTACACATCGGGAAAACCACGAAAACGCCCATGCAGCCAGCCCATTCGCCTGGAATCGAGCCCAGATCGGAACTACCCACCGTTCAGAAATTTTACCGCTATTTATAGAAAGATAAATAGGCAGAGAAAATGGTTAGCGGAAAGAGGTTTTGCTTTAGTAATTTCGTTGAAAGTTTTGCGCTTCTACTTATTTCATTTATTAATGTATTGACACGGTATTTCACAATGAATAACATACAATATTTCCTGTCAGAAAAGAAAATAATCTTCTTAGTAGTAGTGCAGGTAAAAAACAATATTAATAGATGCATTAATTTTTATATCCATTAAAATAACTGAACATAATTAAAGATTCCAGTTTTAAAAATCGATTAAATGCATTTACCCAAATATCCTTCCATATTGTCGACATCCTAGCATAACAAGTTCATGCGTTGGCTATAGAAGAGACAAAACAATTATTAATGAGTTCAGTACATGACAAAGTTTTGATTTGCTTGTAATCAAAAGTCACTGTTATGTGTTTCATTTTTTTTGTTGGTATCAAAATGGTTTTCAAATAAACTTAACATGCAACTGAAATATTAAAACATCCATTGACAATAATAATCTAATTGAAGCTGGTAAATATTTAGGTGCATATCCTAAATATTTTATAGGCTTAAATAGAACTCCTAGTTTCTAAATAGAACTGATTATCCGAGTTCCTAAATAGAACTGACACGTTTTTCATATTTAAGGTAATAGCAAAGAAGCGTGTGCGAATTTAATTTATATTTGGCATAGTTATTTTACTTCAAAAGGAAAGACAGGCATGTAGGGAGATTTATATTTAATTTCATTAACTAATTGAGTTTAATTTTACGTTTTTCCCTATAAGCCTTCATTCCCCTAATTGTCAATGCCAGAATATTTAAATTTGGTAGCGCGCGTGATGTAATGCAACTTCTACCTTGAAGAGAAAAGGTTTAAATACTGAGGTTTTAGAAGAATGCGCAGAAATTTGTTTTGCACTACTTGTAATTGATGCAGTTGAGTTTGAGTGACCGTGTTCCAAGCAGGAGCAGCATAACAAAGTATCGGTCGAATGCAAGTGGTATATATATGTTTTTTGGTACGCAAGCTAAGATTTGAATATTTTCCAATGACCGGGAGAAATCTGCATATTATGCCCATGGATTTGCTCTTGATACTATTAATGTGATTAGACCATGTGAGCCTTTGGTTCAAAATAATTCCTAAGTATTTGGCCTTTGTGACCAGAGGAACAGCTTCCTGAAAAAGGTAGAGATCTTTAAAAGCAATGGTTTTCTTAGTTTTGCTAAGAATTAAAAGTTGTGACTTGCTAGCATTGATTTTTACGCGCCAATTTGTGCACCAGTCTTCTACGGCATAGAGGTAATTTTGCATTTTGTCCATCCAAGCTAATCATGCAATAGACATCGATTCATGCAATAGACAATCCTCTTCGAAGATAGAAGCGTCAGACCACTTGCAGCTCACACCTTCATGGGAGGAGACGACAACATTTCACTTAGATCCTCCATTGGTAGCTATTTATACTTCTAATGCATTTGATTTTGATTGAAGTTCTTCTGTAGCTTCGTTGAATAGTTGTATTTAAATTGTGTTGTATAGTTGTTTTGTATTGTGTTGTATTTAGCACTACTGATTGAGGTTGTTTTATTGTATTTGAATTGCCATTAGAACTATTGTAGTGTATCTTCTCCTATTTTTGTCATTGATTTACATTGTCTTGGGTCCTCCTTGAAAGCTATGATCGCTCGTCACGTATTGCGAATTTGTCCGATTGGATTGTCTTGCTTCTTTTGGTACTTCTCTTCTTCCCCTAAACTCCGTTTTCTCATCTGAGATTTTCTCCACGTCCGGATTTCTTTATGTCAAGTGCCCTTGTGCTTTAATTCTGGAACCGGCAACATTGCTCTTCGCAATAGCTCGGTCAATTATAGAGTCTAAGGGAAAGTTAGAGAGTTTATGCAAGCGCTGTATCTCGGTAGCGTGAGCTTCTGCAGTTACTGCTGGTTAAAATGTGGCGTAACAGCTGTTACTTTGCTGCCACTGGATTTTCGACTCGGTTTTAGGCAATAGGTTTTATCTGAGCCCTGTACAGTAATTTCTACTACTTGTTAATATGTTCTGAGTTTTAGTTTAGTTCTTATTATTTGAGTTACCGCCCGAATATCTGACTATTTTGTTTTAAAATAAAAAATTGTGATACTGCTATATATACGTAATAAAAACGAATTTAGAATGTGGAAATGTGTGCTAATGTGGAAACATAGAAATGTGGATGGAACATAGAAATGTTGAGGGCGTAGCACGCAGATAGCTTAGAACGTAGATCCATACTGAAGAGGATGAATGGTTATTGCGTAGAATACTAAAATGTTGAATCCATAATGACTAGGAAAACTTAGCAGCTGAGTAGTATTAAATATTTATTTTTATTTCAATTGACATTTGTGGTCACAATTTACTTGGTGCTCTAATCGTGTCTATTCAAGCACATTTACAATTTTCATACTATCGCGATAGGTAGAGAGCACAGCGAAATAGCGTCATTATAGCAAGATAGGTAAAAGCAATATATAATAGCAAGATAGGTGTACAATTATCCAATATGGAAGCTCACAACGAGAAGGTTTTGGTTTAGATTAGAAAGGTTTCAGTTCTCGAAATTATCAGTTCAAGCTCCGAATTAGCTACGTCATCAGATTGCGCAAGCGATACGAGATGGACTGGTCTAGAAATGACGTAATCCGGAAAAGTCATTACGATTTTTGAAATAGAGAGGGGAAATTAAGAACTATTGCTAATTATAATTTTACGTTACATATTTTTTATCTTACATATATATATTATTTCCACTCTGTTACCGGGATCGGTGAGCTGAGTTTTTTCATTCTTATATGTTGGTAAATTGTGCATTTTTGGTTTGAATTTTTGGTGCATTTTTGGTTTGATTGAATTATGTTGTTATTATGCTCCGGTTAAGTCTTTTATTGCTTTAGTTAATCTGCATGCAATAGTTGTAGGATTATAAACAATTTAAAAATTATGAAGTGCGACTAATCCTTTACATTTTGAAACTTTTATTAGAATAGCGAAGTCAGTTTATGCCACAACAAACATTCAGTTTTGTGCCCCGAAAAGATTTGTCTTACTGCCCACTGGCCGAATTGCTTGTTTTTGCGTAGAAATTCTAATTTGAATTATAAAAATTGTTTTTTTCAACTCTTTTGAACTGTACTTGGTGTTTTAAGTTTTCTATATTTTACAATTTTTTAATGAAGATGTTTGAATGTTTATGTATTTTTGGCTTGCCGCGAATTGAGAACTAAATTAATTGAACGAGAAATATATCTCTAATGAAATTCGAGGAAATAAGTTTAAACGAAATTCAGCAAAAATGTATATAATTTAATAAGCCATACAAGGAAGTCATGTGGTGTCCACATCAGATTTAAAAAAAAATTGGACTCATTAAATAGTACACCGGTTAAATAAATTAAAATAGTACAAAAACAAGCTATATTTGTCACATTTTTGAGAACATGAACCTCTTGATGAAGACATCATAAGAAATGCAAAATTAAAAAATGTTTATTCTTTTTTTCACTTTTATTAATTAGATGCAGTGGTTGTTTACACGGTTTTGATTAAATTTCGTTTATTTTTCAACTTTGCTGCATCTGATTATGATTTTTTATTTTTCTATTAATTTCAAATTGACATATATATATATATAAAATTGAAATAGAAATTGGAAAGGCTACAAGCAATGTGACGTTAAGACCTATTACACAATTATTAAAAGAGTAGGAAAAGTCGGAGTTTATATGAAAGTTTACAATTTCTTTCCTATGGAGGCCCTAACCATTTTTTTCTCGAAGAAAGTTGAACCCAAAGGTTGTACTAGTAAAAATTAAACTACAAATACTGATAATATACTGAAAGTAATACACAATAAAATAACAAATAAAAATGAAGTATTAATCTCCTCAGTTCAACGCTTCAAACAGAACTTATCAAGGAAAAAGCGTTTTGAAATTGATTAATGAGTTCCGATTAATTAATTCGGAGCTAAGCTGATTAACGAGCTCCGAATACATGTTTCGTTCCTATGAAACACATATTTATATATATTTATATATATATGCATATACACTGTGAACTGCGTACCTCCTAGTATAACTGGAAGAAAATTATAAAGGAATCTGAAACTGACCTTAGAATATAGCGCTTTCAACACACTTATAATGCTAGTACGTGGAGCAAATGGAACACCACGCTTTTCCCAGTAATCATCATTTCTTCCAAGATATCTGTGAAAAAAGAACAGATTTTTGAAAAAATTACTAGCAATCTGATGATTTCAGTTCACTCTCAAATACACCGAAAATTTTATCATTAAAGTTGGCAACGTTAAAATACATTCAAGAAGTTGAAAAATATAGCTGCCCAGCCGGTTTAGTGGTCAGGGAAGCTGACTGCGATGTCGAAGAGCCTGGGTTCGAATCCCGGAGAAGACATGGTTGTAACTGTCCGTCCCTTCATAGGAAAGGCGATGGTGGCCCACCTATTAGGTGCCTCCATAATAAAAAGACCATCACATCCGGCCTTGTATAGATTAAATGGACTAGGTTGCGTTTGCAATTGTTCACAATTTGCCATTGAAAAAAAAGAAAAATATAATAATCGTAAAATTATTAAATTACAATCTGGTTTTTGTATGCTGATTTTTTTTTGCTTTCAGGCTTAAAATGTTTAAAGCTGATTAGTTATATTTAGCCTACTAGCTTATCCTCAGGAATTCAAGACACAACTTACAATCACATACAGACTGTGTTTACACATTCTTAGAACGATTTCGGGGCCGTTTAATAAATGTTTAAAATGCAAAGAATGTTCTTTTAAATGTTCGATATCTAGTAGCCTTTTTGGGGTGTTGTAAGTCTCAATCGTGTTTTCATGACAGAAAGATTTTTCCTAAAATTTTCAGGGGTATTGATTCCCATTCCTGTACTACTACTTTTCAGGATTCGTCAATTGCGGTAAGTTTGTGCTTAGAAATTACTTTTTCTAAGATACTAAACGTACAATAGTCCATAGGTGAAAGTCAGAGGACTTTCCAGGAGTATACTGAAAATGCACAATGCGAAAAAAAAAAAAAAAAATCTGAAAGGTTTCAGATTTTAAATTACGTCGAAAGGGGCGTTTTTTTTAAAGTTTTGTGTGTTACCTTCATTTATTAAATATCATGTTCTTCGCACTTAATTTCAGTTCAATAGCAATATGCAAAGTAATTTTAAAATGAGCCTATCTTTAGAATTTCCGATACACAGTTCCGCGCGCTGGAGATAAAAAAATTTCCTCCCCCCCCGTAGATTGTTGCCATTGCTCCCTTTCAAATCGTTGAGTTTGTTACTCAAAAATTCGGTAAAGGTTTAGAAAATATGAAATCGCTAATAAAACAAATTCCAAATTTCAAATTTTGGCTTCCACATGGCCATATTCGCAGTAAGATTTCGTCATTCAAAATTCGATTGCTCTATTTACCGTTGTTTTATCACATTGCGAGAAATATACCTACATTTATGCAGACTTTTCATTATTTAATTTCTTCAAATATAATGCAGGACTAACATTTTGTGGCAACAGTTTGAAAAATGAAACGGACATTTATAGTGATTCAACGCAAAGACGCAAAACGAAAACAATAATCCTTCAGGGACAAAGCCCCTTTGGACTAATAATAAAAAAAAAAAAAAAAAAAAAAAAAGGTAGAAGAAGAAGGACAGTTCTATATCTCTCGTCCCACTGGGCCGATTGACAAAATTCAAATTGCGTTTTTCATGTTTTGAAAATGCGACTTAAGATATATATTAGACTTATGTATAGCATTGTTCTAACATACTAGGTATTTTGACACAAAATCGGACTTTTCCTGAAATAACATACCAATGTTTTCAAATATTTCGGTTCTAAGACTGAAATTATGCCTAGATATTAAATTTTGTAAAATTTGGTGCGAAATTTACGGAGAAATCCACAAAATTTACTTTGGCACAATTTTTTTTTTTTTTTTTTTTTTTTTTTTTTTTTTTCAGTTTGCGCCAAGAATAATTCACTTGGCGAACCTCTTAATATGTGGCAACCAATTTTCCTTTTCCTTCCATTATGCTGGAGCGAAAAAAAAAGGGCACCTCATTCCTACCTTTTTACATTGTGTATGATCGGGAAAAAAGTCACTGCGTTTCTGCTTCCAAATAATTTTAGAATAGTGTCAAAACCACATTTGATGTTTGATCGCTTTCAACAAATATGCCAAATTTTAAAACGCGCCAATATATAAATTGACGTATATCTTCGGAAATTTTGAATAAAAAACTGTAAATTTTTGCAGGTATGCTTAGAAATACGTCTAGTTTAAGATGATGGTAAAAATGTTATAGATTATAGTTCAAAATGTTTTTAAAAAAATTATAAAAACTATTTAAAAATACAAATTTTAAAAATAAATCATAAAAAATGGATGAGTTTTATTTGGAATGAACCTAAATTTCTAAATGCGAAATGAAAATAAGTTTAATAAAAAAAAGAGAGATTAATAAATACACTGCTGGCCACCGTAAATGCAACACCCTGAAGGAATCATGCAAATAACATGAAATTTACCACATGCATTAGCGGAGGTGAGATATGCAAATGATTAGAATTTCAGCGCACACGCACATCACGCGCGCCTGTGGCGCCACTTTAAAGCGCTATTTAAGGCTTAAAGTTTTCAACGATTTCAAGTTCGAGAATTGTGTTTTTCTTGTGGTTTTTGAAAAAAAAAAAAAAAAAAAAAATCAATTATGCCTCGTAGTAAACAGCGATCATCGTTTGATCAAGTATTCGAGTTCGACAGAGGAAGAATAATGGCCTACCGAGAGTGTGGATTATCTTTCAGGGAAATCGGTAGTCGTGTTGGACGAAACCAAACAACTGTAATGCGGATATGTGACCGTTGGATGCAGGAGGGTACGACGGACCGATGTGTTCGATCGCATCCATTCAGTGCACCACTTCACGTGATGACAGGAACATTGAGCGCATGGCAGTGATGGATCGCTCAGTCACATCACGAACCATAGCACAACACATTTAGTCTGTACGCATCATCCAGTGCCTGGGCGTACCATTCGACGCCATTTACAACAAGGTGGTCTGTCCGCAAGACATTGCTTCGTCTACCCTTGACGCAGAACCCCAGACGTCTCCGCCGCCAATGGTGCGATGAAAGAAAAATGCGGATGACAGAATGGAATGAAATTGTCTTTACTGACGAGTCACACTTCTGTCTGCAATACCACAATGGTCGGATTCGAGTCTGGAGACACCGTGGAGAGAGGATGCTGAACAGCTGCGTTATGCACCGTAACACTGGTCCTGCACCGGGTATTATGGTATGGGGCGGTATTGGATATCACTCTCGCACTCCTCTAATACGCATTGCCGGTACTTACAGCCAGCGCTACATCTCCGATTTGTTGGAGCCAGTTGTCGTTCCTTACCTTCAGGGCTTCTCCACAGCCATATTTCAACAGGATAATGCGCAATTACTCGTAGCAGGCATTGTCCAAGGGTTCTTCGTCAATCGCCAGATTGAATTGCTTCCCTGGCCTGGCCGGCTCGCTCTCAGGATCTTTTGCCGATAGAAAACATGTGGTCCATGGTTGCTGAACGATTTACCCAGATTACATCCCAAGCTGCCACACCAGATCAACTTTGGCAACGTGTGGAAGCTACTTGGTCTGCTGTACCCCAAGAACACATCCAAAGACTCTTTGAATCAATGCCGAGGCGTGTGGCAGCGGTGATCTCCAACAATGGCGGCTACTCTGGCTATTGATTCTTGAAGGAACCACACTTCACTATAGTCTATAAATTTAATCATTTGATACTTGGTCAACTGTTATCTACTAAATAAATTTTGTTGTGATATCTCTTGTCTTTCTTGGTGTTGCAATTTGGGTGGCCAGCAGTGTGTATACCAAACTCAATTAAAATTAAGGAGGTAAAATTTTTAGGGCTAATTTTTTTAAAAACTATTCGTGCGATTTTTACAAAACTTGGTAGTTTGGCGTAATTTGAATCGCAGAACTGAAATATGGAAAAAAATTGGTATGTTATTTCAGAAAAAGTCGGATTTTGTGTCAAAATACCTATATTAGAACAATGCTATATATAAATCTAATAATCTAATAAATAAATCTAATACATATCCTAAGTCGCGCTTTTGAGACATGAAAAGCGCAAGTTGAATTTCGTCAATCGGCCCAGTAGAACGGGAGATATAGAACTGTGGCTTTTTTTTTTTTCGCAGTGTACATACGCAATACCTGTATCAATCTTCTTTTCTCCAACGAATGCAGTGGTACTTTTAGAAGTATGACTTGTTGCTTTGTCTTGATGAAGTTTCACTCTTTGAAAGTCATTCGGATAAAGAAATGGAATTTCTCCTCTAAATATCAGACGTAAAACCTTCCTCTTTTATTTACATTTTTTTCCATTCTTTTTATTTTTAATTTCCCATTGTAAGAGAATCCTGCTACAATCATAAATTCCTTTATGATGCTTTCTTCACACTGATAGAACCAGGTTTGTACATTTTTTTCTCTTCGTTTCCGATAATAAATAGACCTTTCTTATTGCAGTCATTTAAACTCCAGCTTCATCAAGAGCAAAATGTACTTCATTTATCTCCAACTAAATAGTTTTCATACATGATTCTACAAATTGTTCTGCCTTGAGCCACATGCTTTTGCAAAAGCTGGTGAACATTAAGATGTTAGCTTTCTAAAGTTCTAAATCTTTTATATTAATTTATTTATTGTTGCTACAGATGTATATAAAGACTGGATTGATTTCTGCATAGGCGGATTTCTGTTGTTACCAATGCTTTAACTTAAGAAACATTAGAAATAGTATGCATGCTTTTCCGGTATTCGTTTAAGTCTTCTTTTCCATGTTGAAGTAATGGCTGACGTTTTTTTCCTTTTAAATGAATAGTGTTGGTTATTTTGCACTTAGATATTTTAATACTATGCATTTCACCACATTTTTGAATGATGGAATAGGAACATCTCTCTTCGGAAAGCGCAAAAACATATCTTTCAATTCACATCTTACATGAGACATTTTCTAAAGAAGAATAAATTTAAAGGGAGCAGACGATATTTCTAATTTAAACAAATAAGCGGCTGGCAGATATTTTTATTCCGAAACATCTGCTATTTTCTAATTCTTTATAAAAATCGCTCTAAGAATGTGTAAACAC